GGCGGCATACGACAGTTCCGGCAGGTAAGCCGCGACCTCCACTGTTTCTCGCGAGCCTATATAAACGCACACAACCAGCTGCTCATGGTGCAAGAATACCGCAACGACGACACGCCTAGATCAGAATTTGATCTGAGAAGAGGCGCGGCGCGTTTTTATTTACCTTTTCTTGAAGAGCAAAAGGAGAAGAAGCGAATTAGAGTTCTACATTCTCGAAGCTACTTTCCGATGAAATAAATCTTTTTTAATAAGTCGGTTATCGCATCAAGTTATAAATTTTGTGAAATTAAAGAAGAAAGAATTAATTCCGCATCTTTGATTATTTTTTTAAGAAGAAAAGATCAATTCGGACAAAGATTTAGATTAAAAGTTGATTATTCATTAAATTATGTATTAATCAACATACGGAATATATATTTATAATATTCTTTCTCATCTTCAATAAACATCTAGTACCAGGTTGAAATCGATAAAATTTATAATGTTTTAAAATAGAGGAAAATCAGTTAATTATTTCAATTAATAACAATGATCCAAACAGAGATTTTGTTCCACGCGATAAGTATCTATATATTATATCTCTAACAAGCATTTCGTGATAAACAATATAATTGTGAAATAAATACATAATTATGCGAATTACTAAGATAAAACAAATCAAGCAGATAAATAAATTTGTATACGAATAGAGTGCGTATTTAAAGAAAGAGAAAAACATAATAAATCAATAGCAACTATACAGATAGATTGTACGAGTTTTATATACAGAATTAATGTACATATATAGATGAACAAACTATTTTATAATTGTAATAATTATAATAGTAGCAACTTCACAAGTTTTGTATATACAATCAATGTACATATACAATTGAATAAATTATCTTATAATTATTGCAACTATAAAATAATATATTCAAATACACAGACACGTAGATCAATTTTACATATAAAACTTGTATAATTGTAATTGTTACCTGTATAGTTAATACAGAATTCGTAACGTAAAAGTGCTATGACAAGAAAACTTTTTTTGAAAAATTAAATAAAAAGTTGTTTGTAAACTTTTATTTTAAGCAATAATTTCTGAGATACAAGAATTTAAATATCAATTGTAGATTACGTTTAGATAGTCTGTGAGTATTGATGAGCACCTTGAAGTGCGAATTTTGGGTTTGATAATCTTATGCAATTGCTACTACTGTGTTTTTCCCCGAGTGTAACATAAGATTTCTTGAAATTTGAATTTGGAGCAGGTGGCTAATTTAATATCATGTCGTCGTTATGTCATGCGCGGAGTGTTGCAGTTTGGTATTCTTGCATCGCGGATGGCGTCACCTGTGCTCAGCACAGCACCGAATCTACCCTTGTCTCCATTTGTCCGTCTCTTTTCTCTCTCTCTCTCTCTCTCTCTCTCTCTCTCTGTGTTTCTCTTTCTCTCGTATATTCATCATTTGTTTTTCACTTCTTCTGTTGAGTTAGTTAGTTCTGGAAAAAAGGAGAAAGAGAAATGATTGTATTTAATTGGTCAACGAGTTGATTGAATAACAGCCGGAGCAAATCGCGAAAGAGATCTCATTGTTATCTAATCATCTTTCTAAACATAAACTAGAAATAACATTCAATGGAGACGTCCTAACAACGTTTTCTTCCAGTTTTCTATTTCTTTTGGAATTTTTTTTTTTTAGTACTATCTCTTTCTTCCCAGATTTTAAATTGCTTTTAAATTTCTTTTAGCTCTCTTTTACGTTGGCGCGTAGAAAAAATAATTTAAAGACGCGACTAAAGAGAAACTTCGAGATTTTTTAATTCAACCATCGAGTAATGATACGATAAAGATTATAATCACTGCAATGTTTGTACAAAAACAATTATTACGATATGACAACAATCTAGATTTCTCTTTCTCTTTCTTTCTTGCTCCTGCAACTTGTCCTCCGTCGCTCTTCGTGGTTCTCTCCACGCATGTATTTCCTCTATGCGTGTTCTCGTCTCCTCTAGTGTGTCATTGTTTTACCGTCAAGTTACTCAACTCCTTTATTGGTGTTTCCACACTCGTTACATTCCTATTCGAACGTCATGGCTATGTTCGTGGGTGTCATTTATGTGTCAAATGTGTCTTGTAACATTTCGCTTCTCTTTTATCGTTCATTCGAATTCATTCCAGTCTCCTCAGGGAGACAGATCTCTTTTCCCCTTCGTACTCCAGCGCGTCCTACTCTTATTCACCTTTCCTTCGTCGTTGGGGTTTTACCGGCGTAGGCCCGGCGGAATCGTAAAAGCACAACGCGACCGAGGAAGACTAACACAATGTCAAAGCAGGTTGTATGAGATCGAAATATAGCGTACTTTATGAGATAGTAAATTTACAATGTTTCCATTATAAAATGAAATTCGTGGCGGCTGTTTCCATTCTGATTTCGTCACTATCTGTTGGAGGCTATCTGTTGAAATTTGCCACGGCATGTGACAAAGGGTTGTTTAGTGAGGTTTTATATGTCTCTTTCGTTTTCATTCATTAGGTTGCTTTTTATAAGTTTTCACATGCCATTGCGGTTATATTGTTTCGTAGCAAATTTCGGTCTTCATCCCAAGATCTATAAATACGCAAAATTATTAATTTATCTTTGAATTCGAGGATTTTTGAATTCTTTTATTTGAAAACTTGTAAACATAATAATTCGTAAATTTGTGTGTTAAGTCAACAATTTAAATTAAATATTTGAATTAAAATATCTGAAAGAATTTTCTGGGTTTTTATATTATAACATGATATCAAATACATGAATAAAATATAAATACATAGAAAGAAATGAGAATTAAAAGATCCAAGAATTAAGTATTTTACTACTTGAAAGAGATTGGATTGCTGACTTAAAATTTAAAAATAAATAGATTCAAGATTTTTGTGCTTAGATCTTTGGTATGTAGTTAACACGACGAATTAATTACTTGCTACTGAAGATACAAGTCTGCAAAGTAACCTTTATCGATGGAAACTCGCCTTTCGCCATCTGGCGGAGGGTGGAAAGAACCAAGTGGAGAACCACCCTTAAACGGTAGCTAGAGAATACCGGCGGAGAATAGAACTGTACCGTTTACTCGACGTTCGATACACAGTTTGCCGATTTTTTGCTCCATTGTGTAGAATCCTGACGTGATACAGATGGCAGTTGTTGTAAAAACTGCCCTCTTGAAGGGATTACTGAGTTTAACCAGCGGCGACTTAATCCTTTTTTGACCACTTTGTAGAACTTACTCGTAATTTTTTAAATTTGTGGTAAGAGATACAACATGACAAAGCGAGCTTGCAGTTAAGTATCCCTGTTAATGAATTTTTCTAAATGGAAATGCCTAATAAGCGGACTTTGAAAATGAATAAAATAAAATATTTATTTTACGTTTTTAAAGTAATTATTATTATGATTTTCGAATTACATATTTTTTTTAATCCAAATATTGCGATGCCAAAGTCTCATATTAATTACTTTTTAATCCTTTGACTGCCATACGAATTTTTATAATCCGTGTCCTGGCGTGGCGTACTATTTTTTGCATGATATAATTTTAAGTAAATTTTTACATTAAAATATACTTTTTCAATAAAATGTTTTTAATAAAAGTTCTTAGCAAAGTTGACAAATTTTTCCAAAATTTACAAAGTATCATTACATATAAAATTAATGTAAAGTGTTCTTGATTTATATACAGCAGGTAGAAAATGTGTATTAAATTAACATTAAAAATATAACGGGCGTCTTGAATCCATATAGATATGTATCCAATTAAATACACATATAGCAGTCAAAGTGTTAATCAGACCGAACATTAAATTTCTTCTAATGGAAACTCGTACACAATTTGCACGTTTCTTTTGTCTTTTCTGGGACACCCTATGCATCAGCCTCGTTCTATTTTTTTCCTGACTGCATTCATAATTTGCTTAGTTTCTGAGTGGAAATCCTCTCTCGGACGAGAGCGTAAACCAAAATTTCCGTCATCATTAAATGAGATTTGCATCGTATGAGAAAGGGGTTGGGAAAGGGGCTGGGATGAGGAGCGGTTCTCGTGACATTGTTAGTTTAATTATGTTTCCTTGGCGCATGAAAACGCGCTTGCGGACTAAGGCTTCCGTTGACGTTTTTGGCCGATAGCCAACTAGAATACTAACGAAAATGTCCTCATGCATGCCATAGAGATACACCGCGACGAGAACTCCTTGACATTTTCCATGAGTTGAGTAATCTGGGAAATCTACGAAGCTGGTCAATCGAATGCATATATGATATCCGTATGTACAAATGATGCGTGTGATACTATTGTTTACAACAATATTCTCAAACAATTCTATGTTGTTTTTAATCAATATTGTATTATTATTCTCAAATATTAAAAAATATAAATTACTCATACGTGAAAAATATCACTTATTTTTCAATACCGTTCATAAATATTTATTTTTTAATTATACAATGGCAACAAAATTACTCGCGCTCGTATTGTTTCGAAACATATTGTTTTCTCATGAAATACCTCAAACTCGTCGGACATCTCAATTTTGATGCAAATAAAACATCACAATAAAACATCACATTCTGCTAAACCGCGAAAGGATTAAGGAGAGAATATGAGCAGAAAAACGAAAAATGTCAGGAACTATTTGCAACAGAGCATGTTCGTGTAATATCGCTTTGCCTTTGCATTCTGATAATATGCGACGATATATAATATATTCGTTTTTCCGCTCGTTATAATGTTTTTAATTATAACACATTTAAACGTGTAGACAGCTCTTTCTCACAGTTGCAAAAATCGAGTTTTCGTGATCATAATTTTGTTCAAAAACGATGTTTCCGCGTTTCTCTTTGCAACGTGCGGTTTTCATATTTTCGATCTTCTTTCTCTTCCATGTCATTGCTTTATTATAAAACTGTTCACAATGCCAGACGTAGTTTTAACCTAGTTATGTGAGATGCACTAGTTTGTTGTTTACTTTTTTTTATCCGACACGTTTTATCTCGGTT